AAACTACCGGTAATGAGTGTAAATGAAATGATTTTAAAATGAATTATTTGATTATAATTAAATTAAGGTAGTGCGTCTACATTGTGGTTCTTCGTCTTCGATTGCTGATAAAACTAGAATCTTAAATCATTGTTTCTGTTGTTGTTGTTGTTTCGTGAAATTTGCTGGAAGTTAAGAAGGAAAGGTTAATTCAATGCCCCATTCATGCTAGCCCGCGCCACAGAAGGAACTAAACTTCTGGTTGTGTGATTTTAAAATTTAACGCTGCCTTTGAAAAATCGCCACATTGGAAACGCTCACAATTAATAAAACGCCGCGGCTTTTAATCGAGTAAATCTGTGTTTACTTTGTTTGATTAAGGTAAACATACCATACAGAGGAGCCTGGTCATCTTTATATCTGGACCAACATCAGTGGCTTCAGGTTGATTTCTATGGCCGTTACACAAGGGTTACAGGTGTCGCCACTCAAGGACGAAACTCAAGCGCTACAGACCAGTGGGTGACAAAGTACAAACTTTCATTCAGTGAGGATGGTGAAGACTTCCAGTATTACAAGGAACAAGGACAAATAAAGGTGAAAAATAAAGGTAGTAGGGAGCTTATAAGTAACGACGACGAGCTCAAGTCGGTTTTTAGTTCTTCGCGCGCCGTCGTCTTTGCATGTCGTTGAAAAATTGAAAAATCTGCCGTAATTCTTTAATTGTTGCCTTAAAAGAATATATAGGCTATGTTTTTTACTCTTTAGGAATTTGATGGAAATACGGATAGGGACTCGGTTGTTTACCATGACCTTAAATCGCCAGTCTGGACACGCTTAATCCGTTTTCACGCAGTAACTTGGCATATACACATCTCAATGAGAGTGGAGTTGTATGGAAACCATGAAGGTAACTAAGTTGTAGGTTTTGTTGTTGTTGTTGTTGTTTGTGCCAGTTTTTTGTGCTCGTAAATAACAAAAAGAGCTAGAGAAGTGTAATTCATACCATCGCGAAATGCTACTGCTGACAATAATAGAGTTTTAGCTCTTTTTGCTTTTAGTAGCATTTCTAGGAGCTAATGCTTTACTAACCTTTATAATTTTAGAAACGTTTCAATCTAAATCTGTCGATTAAGAATACGACATTTGAATTACAGTAAAACAAAACAAAACAAAACGACCCTCAGGAACACTGCCCTGACTTACCATCCGATGTTTCAATTACATTGAAATATAATTTGCTGAGAAATCCCGCACACTTTCTCGACCAATCTTTCCTGGGAACCAGAGGCTTTTTATCGCCTGCGGCGGGGGTAATCGGGGTAATCTGCAGGTGGAAGCCATGACCTAAACCGGAAACCGAGCATGCGCATACGTATACCCAGCTCATCCCAAACCAAACCTGACTTGTTCATGGCCCTTTTCCATCAAGAATTGTTTTGATTGATTATACCTTTCAACTACCTGCAGGGTGTACAGACGCTCTCGGAATGCAAAACTACCAAATTTCCAATGAACAAATCACTGCTTCATCAGAATACGATGGGAACCATGCGGCCTTTCAAGGCAGGTTACACTTTAAAGGAGCTCCGCATTTATCAGCATCTTGGAGCGCTCGCACAAGTGACGTCAACCAGTGGCTTCAGATTGATGTTGGTAGTGATTACGCTATAGTAACGCGAGTTGCAACACAAGGCAGGGACAGTGCTCAGCAGTTTAGTCAATGGGTCACAAAGTACACGCTGCAGTTTAGTTACGACAGTGTGAATTTTCAAGACTACAAAAGACAAAGGCAAACCAACGTAAGTAAGCACACTTTCAGCCAACTTCCACCAAGAGGGATAACATGAGGACTAATATTANATACCCAGCTCATCCCAAACCAAACCTGCCTTGTTCATGGCCCTTTTCCATCAAGAATTGTTTTGATTGATTATACCTTTCAACTACCTGCAGGGTGTACAGACGCTCTCGGAATGCAAAACTACCAAATTTCCAATGAACAAATCACTGCTTCATCAGAATACGATGGGAACCATGCGGCCTTTCAAGGCAGGTTACACTTTAAAGGAGCTCCGCATTTATCAGCATCTTGGAGCGCTCGCACAAGTGACGTCAACCAGTGGCTTCAGATTGATGTTGGTAGTGATTACGCTATAGTAACGCGAGTTGCAACACAAGGCAGGGACAGTGCTCAGCAGTTTAGTCAATGGGTCACAAAGTACACGCTGCAGTTTAGTTACGACAGTGTGAATTTTCAAGACTACAAAAGACAAAGGCAAACCAACGTAAGTAAGCACACTTTCAGCCAACTTCCACCAAGAGGGATAACATGAGGACTAATATTAAGTGCTCTTCTTACAGAGGTCCCCCCAAACAGAGTGTCAAAGAAAAGGACTAGAAAACTGGGGGAGTTAAACCAAATCTTGGTGTTCGCTTAACCATTCCTATCCTAGAGCAAGTTATGGCAAGATTAATTAATTCTGTTGACGAAATTCTATGGTGTTACCATTCAAATGAAACCTTTCTGACAGAACTTTTGCATAGCGCTAAGTATTTCTTAGGATTAGAAAGATTACTTTCTTGATTTGTTTGGCCACTGTTTTTGGTGAAAGGGTTAAGAAGGCTTTTAATTGATAGAATAGCGGCGTCCGTTAAGAAATAGTCTGCTGATTTGAGTCGTCGCGCCAAGTCTACTATGTGGATCTTTAATGTGAGATCCCGATCGCTCTTTAACCTCTGGGAAAAGGCGCAAAGTTCTGGTCATATCAACGAGATACCGTCATGTTATTCTAAACCCTTCTTGAATACGACATGACAACAGTTTTGTCTATAAACCTGCTGGACTATGGGTAGTGGCTTAATATTTTGTGCGCTGGACTCTTGATCGAGGAGTTGGGGGTTCGATCCCTGGCCGGGGTCATTATAATGTATATTTGGGAAGACACTTCACTTTGACAATGGTTTTATTTCACCGATAACTGGGTACCGGCAAATTTAATGCCGGAGGTAACCCTGCGATAGTGGCGTCAAGATCCTGTCCGGGGAGGAGTAGAAATACTCCTAGTTATTTCATGCTATGGACACAGGATAAGCACGGCCTGACAGGCGACTTGGCTTTAATGCAGACCTTACCTACGTACGCAACACAAACCTACTGTGGGGTACACAAAGTGACCGTTTGTAATTATGTGCCTTTTAAAACACATTTGTAAACGAAATGCTCCTTTTCATTACCCCTTTTAGCAGTGAATCTTAGCCATATTTTAAGAGATAAAGGGAGATAACAGGCTTCTGTGTATCACAATTGCAAATTCCCACATGACACACCCTATTTTCTGTCTTAGGAATTTGCTGGAAACACAGACGGCGACACGGTCGTTACCCATGAACTTCTCCCAGAAATCAGGGCCCGTTATATTCGTTTTCTTCCAACTGCTTGGAATAATCACATTTCAATGAGAGTGGAGCTCTACGGGTTTTTACAAGGTATTTTGCATCGTTAGATAGAATAAGTCATTATGTCTTTGAACCATCCACCTGTCTAATAGAAATGCCCGTTTGAATGGTTTAACCACGTTAACAACAGTATTAGTTCAGTATTAGTGAACCTGATTTTTAACATGTATTCTACTGACCCGCGTTTCCCTTAATGGCAGCTTTGTCCGCTCTTAATCTCGTTAATGTTTGTGCGCGTAATTGTCCTGTCATATCCCAACATTAAAATGGACTACTGTTACGTCGTGCAACCTTCCCAACTACTTTTGTCTGGGATTGAAGGCTATACGCATGAGTACATGAAAGGGAGAATCGACCGACAGCAGTGCGTCCTTTTCCGTGGCAATGAACTTGGTGTATTCAGCAGATGGACTGTTATAAATGTAAGGAATGTTATACCAAGCAAATTTGTTGGCGAAGTTTTCACGTTTTACAAGTTTCTATCCAATTAATGAGCTTCTTCTTTTATTGGGTTGTTTGTTGACAGTTGCACCTTTCCATTATTTTATTTTTAGGCCTTTCAGCAATTGACAGTATGAAAAAATCTGCCGCATTCCATTGGACAATGGATAATCATGAAGATATTAAGAACCTTATGAGTTTTGACTGGGGTCACGCTGCAAACGGCTCGAGCACCATCAGGGGCATAAGAGGCAAGGCAGTGTATGTTGGATATGGAGCATGTGGCGCGTTCACACTGAACGAGAATCTCCTTAAAAGTTGCGTTTTCGATGCTTCCTTATGTAACAGTGGGTTCACATTGATGCTCTGGCTGTGGTACAAAATTAAGGATTCAGGCGAGGGACAACTATTTCTCACATCCAGTGGAAATAACCGAACAGGTCATAGAATGTACCAAGTTAACAGTGACAGTCCTCAGGTATGGCCGCTCATTATTTTTTTAACAAAACCGTATTATAAAAACACAGGGCTGAGAGTTTTTCGGTAGGTTTTTTGTAGATGTTGCTAGAAACTTTGGTTATGATCGTCTGCCGATTTGGCACATAGTGTCGACTTTAATATCGCGTTGCTTTATCCTAATTCTTACACATAAAAAAATGTTAAGTCTTAGCACTCTTTTTTAAGACTTTCAAAATCGCTGCCATCTTGGTAACTATAGTACATGACGTCACAGCACACAAACTGCACCACAACCAATAACATGGACGTTCGGTTAACCGAATTCCAAATATAGGTGTTCTTACACACCCTTTGTATTGACCATTACAAGAAAACACGACATCACAAATTACTTGGATTTGACCAAAATGTTAAAAGACATAGGTACCACCGTCAAGATGAAACGAAGTGACGCTCACATGGAAGCGTGGTCACTTGGCAAGCACAAGTATCCTAAAGGGTATTGGCTATAATCCAAATAAATGCCACCCCAAGTCCCAGGCCCCCAAAGAAATAAAAAGTACACAATGGGAAGAAGAAGCATAAAAATTCTATTTGCAAGCAAATATTTCCTTTATTATCTTTTCTAGGTGGCGTTTGAAGTCTCCAGTACCAACAAAAAATGCGTCGTTACATTTCCGACACCAAAGGAAGTATGGACACATTACGTACTAACGTACAAAACCTTTGACAGCCTGAATAGCATAGAAGTGTTTATAAATGGTGAAGAGGTGATGAAGTTTACTTCTAAGGAGTGTTACGATGGTAATTTTGACCAGGATAATTTTACGGCAATTTCCATTGGAGAGGACGATTCAGGTAGAGGACTTCCTGTGGCAGCTTTTGACGACATAGTTATCTGGTACAGATCTGTAACCAAAGAGGAAATAATCGATATTTACAGTTACTATAAAGGTAATTTGTTTGTCGTAGGCCTCTAATTTTACTGAAATTCAATGGACATTCGAAATGGTGTTCTCTTATGGAGTGCTTTATATCACTGTTTATATAGAAGTTAAGACGAACTTTTTTCCGAGGAATTTTTTTAATACTGGTATCCCTTCTTCCCTACTGTAGTGGTACCAACTCAACTTGCCTTATATCTGCCCTCAGTGAGTCTTGCTTTGTCTTTAACAGCTTAGTATATTTTCCGTTATATTTTTTCCAAATTTTTGCAGGTGATTCTAACTTGCAGCTTCACGTGAGCGTTGGTTTTACCGGTGTCCCCTGGAAAGAAGACATGCTGGACAGGGAATCAAATGCTTTCACGTCTTTCACAGAAAACTTATCAAATAATGTAAGAGTTTCATGTTGCATTTTATTTATGAGCTACCATTCGATCATAATAATAATACTAATAAGAAGAAGGAGAAGAAGAAGAATAACACAGTTCATACTATACTACTCATATAAGATGTTTCTTTGTTTCCTTCTGCAGCTTAAAAACATCGCAAATGGAAGCGTCAGTGAAGTGGTTGTTCATAAATATTGGTACGTTGGTGGAAACCATTTGTCATCATACTGAAATCGCTTAATCCGTGAGAGACGGATAAGATAGCAAAGATACATGGCAACATAAGTAATATTTCGTGAAGAAAATTGTGCAATTTTTAGTCCCTATATGCAATTAAAAATTTCACTAATCACGAATTTTTGGTGTATTTTTAGGTCAGAAGCAAACGGTTTCATTGGCTGCGAGTTTACCGTTAAATTTATAGAGGCAGGATACACTGCGGTCGAACCTATTATAAACGGGCTGGAAACAAGCTCATATCAAGTTCACAATCTTGAAGCGAATGACAGTAAGTTCAATTCGTCTGTTATGACTCTATTAAGTTATATTTGCGCGACGCAAAAAAAAATGTTCATCGATTATTTTGAGATACGAAAAGCGTTCCAACAGCAAAGATTGTAAGCAAGCTAAACGTTAACAAAGTGAAAGTTTACTGGTTTTTGAAATCCAAAAATACAAGAAATTAAAAAATGGCAAACACTTACGAAAGTGTAACTACTGCAAGTAAAAAATATTATAGTCATTAGGCACCTAATATTTCGACTTGTGTTAGTAAATCAAATTGAAATACAGCTGTTTTTAAGAAGTATAAATTAATTCTTTTACATTTTGTCAATAGGTTTATTCTAAAGGCGTTAAGTGCCTGTATTTTTTTTCTTCTTTTTTAGTATACACAATGGCAGTTAGCCTCCAGGCTCCAAACGCCTCTAAAGAACACTCAATCGAACTTACCGTCACATGGATTGGACCAGATGAGCTGCTACATGGCGTGTTTCAAGGTTTTCAGATATTTTACAGAGATACTAAACGTGGAATAGACTGTTTTTGTCTATAAACCTGCTGGACTATGGGTAGTGGCTTAATATTTTGTGCGCTGGACTCTTGATCGAGGAGTTGGGGGTTCGATCCCTGGCCGGGGTCATTATAATGTATATTTGGGAAGACACTTCACTTTGACAATGGTTTTATTTCACCGATAACTGGGTACCGGCAAATTTAATGCCGGAGGTAACCCTGCGATAGTGGCGTCAAGATCCTGTCCGGGGAGGAGTAGAAATACTCCTAGTTATTTCATGCTATGGACACAGGATAAGCACGGCCTGACAGGCGACTTGGCTTTAATGCAGACCTTACCTACGTACGCAACACAAACCTACTGTGGGGTACACAAAGTGACCGTTTGTAATTATGTGCCTTTTAAAACACATTTGTAAACGAAATGCTCCTTTTCATTACCCCTTTTAGCAGTGAATCTTAGCCATATTTTAAGAGATAAAGGGAGATAACAGGCTTCTGTGTATCACAATTGCAAATTCCCACATGACACACCCTATTTTCTGTCTTAGGAATTTGCTGGAAACACAGACGGCGACACGGTCGTTACCCATGAACTTCTCCCAGAAATCAGGGCCCGTTATATTCGTTTTCTTCCAACTGCTTGGAATAATCACATTTCAATGAGAGTGGAGCTCTACGGGTTTTTACAAGGTATTTTGCATCGTTAGATAGAATAAGTCATTATGTCTTTGAACCATCCACCTGTCTAATAGAAATGCCCGTTTGAATGGTTTAACCACGTTAACAACAGTATTAGTTCAGTATTAGTGAACCTGATTTTTAACATGTATTCTACTGACCCGCGTTTCCCTTAATGGCAGCTTTGTCCGCTCTTAATCTCGTTAATGTTTGTGCGCGTAATTGTCCTGTCATATCCCAACATTAAAATGGACTACTGTTACGTCGTGCAACCTTCCCAACTACTTTTGTCTGGGATTGAAGGCTATACGCATGAGTACATGAAAGGGAGAATCGACCGACAGCAGTGCGTCCTTTTCCGTGGCAATGAACTTGGTGTATTCAGCAGATGGACTGTTATAAATGTAAGGAATGTTATACCAAGCAAATTTGTTGGCGAAGTTTTCACGTTTTACAAGTTTCTATCCAATTAATGAGCTTCTTCTTTTATTGGGTTGTTTGTTGACAGTTGCACCTTTCCATTATTTTATTTTTAGGCCTTTCAGCAATTGACAGTATGAAAAAATCTGCCGCATTCCATTGGACAATGGATAATCATGAAGATATTAAGAACCTTATGAGTTTTGACTGGGGTCACGCTGCAAACGGCTCGAGCACCATCAGGGGCATAAGAGGCAAGGCAGTGTATGTTGGATATGGAGCATGTGGCGCGTTCACACTGAACGAGAATCTCCTTAAAAGTTGCGTTTTCGATGCTTCCTTATGTAACAGTGGGTTCACATTGATGCTCTGGCTGTGGTACAAAATTAAGGATTCAGGCGAGGGACAACTATTTCTCACATCCAGTGGAAATAACCGAACAGGTCATAGAATGTACCAAGTTAACAGTGACAGTCCTCAGGTATGGCCGCTCATTATTTTTTTAACAAAACCGTATTATAAAAACACAGGGCTGAGAGTTTTTCGGTAGGTTTTTTGTAGATGTTGCTAGAAACTTTGGTTATGATCGTCTGCCGATTTGGCACATAGTGTCGACTTTAATATCGCGTTGCTTTATCCTAATTCTTACACATAAAAAAATGTTAAGTCTTAGCACTCTTTTTTAAGACTTTCAAAATCGCTGCCATCTTGGTAACTATAGTACATGACGTCACAGCACACAAACTGCACCACAACCAATAACATGGACGTTCGGTTAACCGAATTCCAAATATAGGTGTTCTTACACACCCTTTGTATTGACCATTACAAGAAAACACGACATCACAAATTACTTGGATTTGACCAAAATGTTAAAAGACATAGGTACCACCGTCAAGATGAAACGAAGTGACGCTCACATGGAAGCGTGGTCACTTGGCAAGCACAAGTATCCTAAAGGGTATTGGCTATAATCCAAATAAATGCCACCCCAAGTCCCAGGCCCCCAAAGAAATAAAAAGTACACAATGGGAAGAAGAAGCATAAAAATTCTATTTGCAAGCAAATATTTCCTTTATTATCTTTTCTAGGTGGCGTTTGAAGTCTCCAGTACCAACAAAAAATGCGTCGTTACATTTCCGACACCAAAGGAAGTATGGACACATTACGTACTAACGTACAAAACCTTTGACAGCCTGAATAGCATAGAAGTGTTTATAAATGGTGAAGAGGTGATGAAGTTTACTTCTAAGGAGTGTTACGATGGTAATTTTGACCAGGATAATTTTACGGCAATTTCCATTGGAGAGGACGATTCAGGTAGAGGACTTCCTGTGGCAGCTTTTGACGACATAGTTATCTGGTACAGATCTGTAACCAAAGAGGAAATAATCGATATTTACAGTTACTATAAAGGTAATTTGTTTGTCGTAGGCCTCTAATTTTACTGAAATTCAATGGACATTCGAAATGGTGTTCTCTTATGGAGTGCTTTATATCACTGTTTATATAGAAGTTAAGACGAACTTTTTTCCGAGGAATTTTTTTAATACTGGTATCCCTTCTTCCCTACTGTAGTGGTACCAACTCAACTTGCCTTATATCTGCCCTCAGTGAGTCTTGCTTTGTCTTTAACAGCTTAGTATATTTTCCGTTATATTTTTTCCAAATTTTTGCAGGTGATTCTAACTTGCAGCTTCACGTGAGCGTTGGTTTTACCGGTGTCCCCTGGAAAGAAGACATGCTGGACAGGGAATCAAATGCTTTCACGTCTTTCACAGAAAACTTATCAAATAATGTAAGAGTTTCATGTTGCATTTTATTTATGAGCTACCATTCGATCATAATAATAATACTAATAAGAAGAAGGAGAAGAAGAAGAATAACACAGTTCATACTATACTACTCATATAAGATGTTTCTTTGTTTCCTTCTGCAGCTTAAAAACATCGCAAATGGAAGCGTCAGTGAAGTGGTTGTTCATAAATATTGGTACGTTGGTGGAAACCATTTGTCATCATACTGAAATCGCTTAATCCGTGAGAGACGGATAAGATAGCAAAGATACATGGCAACATAAGTAATATTTCGTGAAGAAAATTGTGCAATTTTTAGTCCCTATATGCAATTAAAAATTTCACTAATCACGAATTTTTGGTGTATTTTTAGGTCAGAAGCAAACGGTTTCATTGGCTGCGAGTTTACCGTTAAATTTATAGAGGCAGGATACACTGCGGTCGAACCTATTATAAACGGGCTGGAAACAAGCTCATATCAAGTTCACAATCTTGAAGCGAATGACAGTAAGTTCAATTCGTCTGTTATGACTCTATTAAGTTATATTTGCGCGACGCAAAAAAAAATGTTCATCGATTATTTTGAGATACGAAAAGCGTTCCAACAGCAAAGATTGTAAGCAAGCTAAACGTTAACAAAGTGAAAGTTTACTGGTTTTTGAAATCCAAAAATACAAGAAATTAAAAAATGGCAAACACTTACGAAAGTGTAACTACTGCAAGTAAAAAATATTATAGTCATTAGGCACCTAATATTTCGACTTGTGTTAGTAAATCAAATTGAAATACAGCTGTTTTTAAGAAGTATAAATTAATTCTTTTACATTTTGTCAATAGGTTTATTCTAAAGGCGTTAAGTGCCTGTATTTTTTTTCTTCTTTTTTAGTATACACAATGGCAGTTAGCCTCCAGGCTCCAAACGCCTCTAAAGAACACTCAATCGAACTTACCGTCACATGGATTGGACCAGATGAGCTGCTACATGGCGTGTTTCAAGGTTTTCAGATATTTTACAGAGATACTAAACGTGGAATAGACTGTAATGTGACTGCGAGAATGAATGTCTCATTTTACGAGATACAGAATCTGACGGCTTACACAGAGTATAGGATTACAGCTAGAACGTTTACTCTGGAAGGTGAAGGAAGAATGAGCAATCCTATTTTCAGATGGACAGCTGCCCTTGGTAATTTTGATTAATAATTATTGAATGGGGCTAAGCATGATATGAAGAATTATGAAGATCGAGGAGGGTGTTATCCACCGGGGACGAAGGCCGGGTTGGATGGCATCCTCAGTAATTCCTCTTTTTCTTCTTCACATAGCCGTGAGGTCTTCGCCATGTTCTTGAAGTTCTGTACTCATGCACGCCGCTGTCTTGGGTGATGTCAATCGTGGATAATTTTAATATAAAATCATTGACGTCTGAGTGACTGACGTCAATAATGGTGTACCATAATTATTTTCCAAATTTGTTCATCGCGATCTGGTTATGAAGAATTAGCTGGAGAATAAAAGCCAATCGAAAAGGCGAAATATTTCGAATGAATAACACTACAAATTAAGTCGATGACTAAAGACTTAGAGTCTTAATCACTCTCTGGCCTGCCTTAAACGGAAGGACTTTTAATTTGACTGATATCTTGTATTTGCTTTTAAGCCCCTACCACGGCTCCTACGTCCATCACTGCATGTAACACGAGCTCAACAAGTCTTCGTGTCTCTTGGAACAAAATCCCTGCCGAACAAGTTGATGGAAAGATAAAGGGATACACTGTGCTGTACTTTGCTGTCGAGGATGGTAATGACACTACAGCGAATGTCACCTTGGAGGATGGGAGCGTTAACCAAACAATCCTGACTGGTCTTCGCAAGTATACACAGTACAGCATTCAAATACTGGGTTTTACAGAGAGAGACAAGATGGGCCCGATTAGCAGTCCCGTTTTCTCTAGGACAGACCAAGATGGTGAGAATTAGTTAACCTTTGTTCTTCTTAAATCATGGTAGCTCCGTGTCAATTCGGGTTTCTGGGAGCAGCTCGCACTTATTTTAAGGAGATATCTAAGTACTGGCCGAATAAACTCTTTATTCGTGAATCTATTTATTTTTTTCTTGAATAGTTCCAAGTCTTCCACCGACAAACGTGACTGCTTATAGCACTGGCTCAACCAGTATTCTTGTTCTTTGGGGCCCAGTTCCCAAAGAAGGAGGGCACGGAATTGTTGGTTACAAAGTTTCTTACAAAAAGGAAAATGAACCTAACAACTGGAGGAACGCGTCTTGCTCCCAAATATCATGGTGTGAAATAAATGATCTTGATTATGGCATTTGGTACGGCATTCGTGTGGCTGGATTTACTGTCAAAGGATATGGACCCAGTACCCAAGTGGAAGCAAAAACTTTCAGGGGTGGTAAGTTGCTTACAGACATAATCATGGTTTTTGAGATCGTAAATTATTACTGTTTGGAAGAAAGAGAAATCAAACATCAGAAAGCCTAGAAAAAACCTGAGCTATAAGTAAGACCTGGTCAGTTCTGTTTAGTCTGTTCAGCTGATTTGGACATACTTTGTCGCTGTTCATTCTCCCAGTACGTCAGATTTTCTAGTTTTATGTTTATGCACAAGATTTCCACCCGGATGGTTTGTGAAAATGGTGAGCATCCTAAACTCGCTACCCTCGAGTTTGAGATCGGACGCTTTAACCACTGAGCTACTGAAGGCTGTAAGGAGAACAGGGTCGAAATTTGATAATAATTACACCAGCCATAGAGGACTTTGGTACTCTATCTAATGTCATTGGTAAGCCTGTGCTTGGCTGGTACCCAGATGCTTGTGGGACTCTCTTATAAGTTTTATTACTTTTGCATTAGTATATTGAGACCCTAACAATATAGCTACTGTTACAGTTCCAGGTCCGCCAACAAATGTTCAAGGCTACAACACTAGCTCCACTAGTCTAAACATCACATGGGATCATGTGCTTCCAAATGAAAGATATGAAGATGTAATTGCCTACAAAATCATCCTTAAATCCGTGAATGATCCAACTGAAGTGCCAGTGGTATTACAGAGAATGAAAGCAGCTTGTGACGGCAGTAATGACATGTACTCGCATGAAACTCATCTAAATATGTTCACGCCTTACGAAATCACCGTGGCGAGTGTAGTGCGCACGGGGATTGGAAATTTCACTGAAAAGATAACTGTTTTGACTGACGAAGACGGTGAGTATCTTTATACAGGGGCGGGGTACCCCTGCACCCTCCTCTTACCCCAGATATACCTGCCTTACAACAGATACCCTTTCTTCCATTCAATTGTGAGGTAAAGCTAGAGTAGGGTGCGGGCGGACGTTCCTATCTTTGTCCCGAACCCACGATTATGTTGACAGTATCTCCACAATACTGATATCTATAGCTAACAGGTATATTAGATCAGTGTTTGTGGTTGAATACAAAAACTGCAGTTAACTCTGTGTTTTCGGATGGCTCCCTGAAATGTTGATCCTTGTCTTCGGTGACTAGCTAGAGTAGGGTGCGGGCGGACGTTCCTATCTTTGTCCCGAACCCACGATTATGTTGACAGTATCTCCACAATACTGATATCTATAGCTAACAGGTATATTAGATCAGTGTTTGTGGTTGAATACAAAAACTGCAGTTAACTCTGTGTTTTCGGATGGCTCCCTGAAATGTTGATCCTTGTCTTCGGTGACTAGCTAGAGTAGGGTGCGGGCGGACGTTCCTATCTTTGTCCCGAACCCACGATTATGTTGACAGTATCTCCACAATACTGATATCTATAGCTAACAGGTATATTAGATCAGTGTTTGCGGTTGAATACAAAAACTGCAGTTAACTCTGTGTTTTCGGATGGCTCCCTGAAATGTTGATCCTTGTCTTCGGTGACTAAATTAATTTCCGCTTAGTGAGGAGTTCGCCTAGTCATGGCTGTCTAGGGGGCGGGAACGCTGCTAAAACGGAAAGACATTTAGTGCAGGTATGATCCCAGCGGTGGCTGATTGAATCTTAGAGACGGTTAATTGCACATAACCTTTCCTTTTGAATTTTGTTATAGCACCTGAAGGGAGCCCACAAAACATCACCCCAGCGGCTACATCCGCCACAAGTGTAACACTCGCTTGGGAACCGCTAACCAATAACGTCGCTAATGGACTCATTCTGGGATACCACATTTTCCTGTTTGACAAACTCAGAAACGTGACTCGTAACCTTACAGTGGAGTCGCTAGATGAGGCACACGTAGAAGATCTATTTCCCTACACGGACTATGAAGCTCACATTGTACCATTCAACAGCAAAGGTGAAGGAAACGCTAGTGAAGTTATTCCCATCAAGACTAAAGAAGCTGGTAAGGTTTTCAGCTCTACATGATGATAGAGACCTTTAGATTCGACGACGAGGACCCGTAGACCCGTAGCAGAATGACGATGGCCATCACGTTTTCCCGCCAAAATGAAGCTGGTTCACGCGCGCGCACCCCTTGTATATACGTAGCCGTCCACGTCATAGAATTAAAGGTCTCTAATAAGCAAAACAGCAACGTTTTTCTTCGTTTTGTAGTTTGACAGCGAAGCTCTTGGGAAGACTCGACGGAGGCCACTAATCGCGCCTCAGAGCTCGCCTCACGGGATAGTGATTTTATGAAGCTCTTAAAATATACTTTTCTCTGTTTTGAAGGGGTAAAGCAAAAACAATACGCCGAGCAGAAAGCAGACATCATCAACCGTCGTGATAAACGATGCCGGTTATAGTGTTGTCATTTTTAATTTGAACCTTCTTGGACTCTTGCGATAAATTTATTTTAAAAGTTGATTACTTGTGATCATGTTTCTAGAACTTACAGTTTACCGACCCTTAAACGATGAACCTCAGGACTATTATTTTCCTTTCAGCTCCCAGCCGTCCGCCCTCTAATTTAACAGGGCAGGCCCCTAGCTCATCATCTTTGACATTGGCATGGAAACCAGTAGACGCACAGCACATAAATGGTATACTACGTGCTTACGTCATCGTTTACTGGATTACACTTTTTCCTGACACCACACGTGAAAATATCACGATACTAGTCACCAGTGGTCGCACCAAAAGAGCTCTTACTGATTCCTCTTCACCAAACTTTGAGCTTAGCGGATTGAAAAAGTATACAGAGTACACCATTCAAGTGATTCCTTTCACCGTCGACTACGGAGTACCGAGCCATGAGGTCAATCTGACCACTGGACAGGATGGTATGTGTGGAATAACTATTTCTCACGCTAGGTAGACTGGAGTACTTTTAGTCATCTTAGATTTTATTAAAAATTGGCTCTCAGGTGTAATTAGTTGACGTTCTAAAGGTTTTGGTATTTAACAATTATTCCTCGAGCCCGAATGGGCTCTGAGTCAATAGCCCATGAGGCCGAAGGCCGAATGGGCTATTGACTCAGAGGCCATGAGGTCGAGAGGAATAATTGTTTAAGTGAAATCCAAATAGTTGGTCAAAGATATCAAGAATAAAAAACTTTGAGCTAGTTAAAGCTAGACTTAAATCCTTTTTTTTTTTTGCCGCCAAAAAGCCGGCGCTTTTCGCTACTAGTGGGCTATAACATATAGCCTAGTAGTAGCTCAACCAATCAGCATTGATAATAGACCACTAGTTGGATTTTACCAATATCGTTTGTCCCACGCGTACAATAGTCACTTAGATATTGATCGCGATGCTTCGACCACGTGCTGCAGGTCTTCATCAGGCGATAGTGTCGATATCATAAAAAAAATCATATGTTTTTTTCGAGCCCTGCACATACTGTAACATAATATTATCTTATCAGTAATGTGGAACAGAGAAACCAAATATTGTATATCAGTTATTTCACAGAAAATAATTATAAAGGTCATGAGTACCTTTCTTATAATTTCTTCTTTTTCAGTCCCAAGTCACTCGCCAAGAAATATCACCGCCTTCAACACCAGTTCTACAAGCATTAATGTCACGTGGCAACCAATCCCTAACGATCACGTGAATGGAATACTACTGGGTTATCGTGTCCTCTACAAGAAGAAAAACAGTCCGATGGATGCCTTTCAAAACATAACAGTAAATTCAACTTATCTTGATGCAGAAATTACTAGCCTTGAGGTTTATACAGAGTACGAGTTGAGGATCGTTGGATTCACGATAATTGGGGATGGGAATGTTTCAGAGCCTGTTTTCTGCTTCACGGATGAGAGTGGTAATTATGTTTCCGTTCCCTCATTACGTAACCTGAGAAAACAGACGACATTTGGCGACGCCAACAACGGTTTCTCTGCGAAATGACGTCAGAGAAACAAGCGCAGAAATTCCATACTGATGACGCATCACTACCCAGATGTAAGTAGTGCTTCTGATTGGTTGAAGCACATTTCACGAGCTGCACGACCAATCAGAAGCACCACCCAGATCTGGATCGGTCGTTTCTAAGAAGTCATTTCGCATGGAAACCAAGGGAGGCGTCGCGAAATATCGCCTGTTCTCTCAGGCTACTCATTACGACGACTGGAATAGACCAGTAAAGAATAGTTTGGATCCTAGCCTACCCTGATAAAACCCTATGGAAAGGCATCGCTCATCGGAGTCCCTCGATTAATGATTATCAACAGCTTTCCACTGCTTGAATCTTAGGTGTAGATTAGGCTCCCCCATAGGTAAAACCCACGTGACATCATTTTGAACCCAACCTCACAAAGGAAGACCTGACGTTTCACTGACAGGTTAGCCTGCGCCTCAAACGTACTCTTAGCCCGGTTAGTAACGTCTGCGAAGCAGCGCTCATATCCTTGTTTTAGGCCTCCGATGGACTCAACGAATTACCGGAAATGCGTTTTGAATTTCACTTCAACCTGATTGGCAAATGGGCCAATCACGGTGCACACTCAAATTCGGGCACACAGGTGGGTACTCAGTGCAAGGATTTCGGTGCTGTTTCGCAGACGAACTTAATTAGAAGTTTAGTTCCATCCGCGGCACAAGCTACTGACCGGTTGGTCAGTCAAAGTACAGTAAAAAACTGAGTAAAACAAAGAAGGAAACTAAAGGAATAACTTGTTAGTTGAAATCCCAGGGCAAGGAAAAAGGATTTTATGTGTTACTTCTTAGAGAGCGTGTCTTCTGACAGAAAATAAGAAATGCCTCGTTAAAAACGTAACTGTGACAAGAGTAACCTCAAAGCCATTCACTCTTCGTTCTTTTTATTCAGTTCCGGACAGCGCCCCCTTAAATGTGACCTCACTTCCTGCCAACACTACAGCCTTGACAGTAAAATGGTTTCCTGTCATTGAAGAGGACAGAAATGGTGTCATACTGAGTTACACGGTCGCCCTTAGTAACATCACAGGGGAATTGATGAGAAACGTAAGCGTTCATGGCTCTTCAACATTAAGTTTCACTTTAGGAGGACTGGACATTTGGACAAATTATAGTTTAGAGGTTTGTGCCTTTACAGTGAAAGGAAATGGTCCTTGGAGTGCACCTCTAATAGGAATTACAGATGAAGAAGGTACGTTGTGACGTTCAAAATAGCTAGTTAAAAACTACAATCATGGCCAAAAGGTTTTGGGACTCTTTTCTCATGTTCATGTACGGAATCTGCAGCTAACCGCCGACAATACAAACTCATAAGAACTGTCTTACCACGCAAGGTTTCTCACCCTCCCCACCCCCTACCTCAGAGTTGAGGCGCTTAACCTGTGTAGGATATGTAAAAGGTATTTGACTTAAAACACCTAACACTGTTCTGAAGGGGGGGGAGCCGCTGGTGGAGGGGAGATTAGCTTGATTTGCATTTCCAATACGTGAAAGATAGACAAGGTTCCCCAAACGTTTTGACCAGGATTGTAGTTGCCTCCCTTAAAAGTTGGTAGAATGAGTAGAAATTGTGGATTTTGCCAGGTACACTGCATTTGACATCACTTCCAATTACTCTAGGCAAGTTGTGCTTCGTGCATGCTGACGCTAGTTTCTTTCAGAGTCCCAATCTTTCCAACACTCATATACTACTAACGTCAAAAACGCAGTCGCTGTAAAATGTTGTTGCCAGAAAAAATCGTTGTCTGTTTTACAAAGGGGTATCTCTGTGTCGGAGCCTCTCGAGGTTCTGCCCATCTCAAGACTTTTCTGGAGGTCAGGCTGTGGCGATGGTCTGACCGAAACGATGAATTGGTGCGATGGTCTGGAGGATTATCCCTACCCGACCTAGCTCGATCTTAGTCTTTCAATCCATCCGTATGGGCTATAGCTTTAAAATAAAGTCTTTTTCCCTGCCTTTTTGATCGCTAATCCAAAGTTGTATCATTATGTCAGCTCCACGCGTTGCACCGACGAATGTCACCGCGTACAATACCAGCTCCACCAGTCTTCATGTCACGTGGCAGCCGATAAACACAGAAGGCTTAAGAGGGATCCTCAGGGAATACCGCGTTTATTTCATTGAGCAGAAAACTTACTTTATCCAGTCTCTCAGGAATGTCACGGTGGATTCATCGACACTTGAAGTTGACTTAGTGGGTCTATACAAGTTTACAAATTATTCTGTGTATGTAGTGGCGAGGACAANGGGGGGGGGGGGGGGGGGGGGGGGTCCCATGATGCCTTTCTGAATTTTAAAACGTCTCGTGTCGGTGTTTATAAATGCTTGTCGCTTATTGTCGGCTTTGCCGTCACTGTCGTAGTTTGGCCGAGGGAGGTTGTCTCTTGTCGCGATTTCATTTTACGCGCTGTCGCTACTTTTTGGGCCATGTCGCTTGTCGGAATTTACCCTGGCAGGGCCTCACTAAGGACCTGATCGATCGACCTCCCGTCGACATGCGCAGTAATGATTTTATTTTCTTTTATACCACTAAGGACCCGATCGACCTCCTACTGACATGCGCAGTAATAATTTTACTTTCTTTTTACCACTAGGACCCGATCGACCTCCCGCCGACATGCAGGTCTTTTCACCACATTCCACATCACTTTATGTAAGCTGGAATGAGGTGCCCGATGCTTACAAAAATGGTATTATAAGAGGATACAAAGTTTACTACATAGAGGTGAAAAATGGCTCCAGTGTTACCGAAAACCTCCCTTCCGGACAGCGATGGCTCCGAATTGATGGATTAAGAAAGTATACTTTATACAATGTCACGGTGTTAGCTTACACAGTAAAAGGAGACGGAGTGGTAACAAGTAAAGAACATAAGACGGATCAAGATGGTATGTCTGTTTCCTAGGAGACACATTAACATTTATTTTTCTCTAGGACCCCTTCACCTCGGATCATTCATCGGCGACAAGTTAATGTCAGGCCATTCAAATGTGCAGTCTCTGCGTTCGACGTAGAAGAACGCACTTGCATTATGCCACATTAGAAACGAGAGGGAACTGTGCCGAGTTAACGTTCGTAAAGACTTCTGGGACTGTTAATAGGCCAATAGCTGACTTCAGCGGCTCGTCCTCGGCAACAATCCCATAAGTCTGCGATAGTTAAGTCGATCCATTTTCTTTCTTGTTGTATGGGAGAAAGGTGAACAGGTCCGAGTCGAGGGACACTGCAAATTTTATACTGCGAAATGCCATCATCAAGACAGAGAGAGAACCTGAAATCGAGAGTGGTCGAACGCACTCTGTAATCTTTAATATTACCTAATTTTAGATTTATTTTCCCTATGGTGATTTAATATTTTCAGTGTTAACAAACGCATGAACAATGTGGATTCGAGACTCCTTGGTTCTCGCGTTTAAGTTTCTTCATTAGCAGTTAACCTAGCTGAGATTTCTCTCCTTCAATTTGGCTGACGGCCCAAATTAAATCTCTTAAAAAATTAATTTTACACCGGTGATAATTCACCGCCAGCCCAGTGACAGAGTTTCTTTGAAACTAACCCCTTCACCCAAATTCATAACCCTTTGGACTCTTGAACATGGTCTGTCCGCTACAATTATAGAAGGACCCTAATTTTGTATCTATTCTAACAATAACGAAGCTCTTGTCAAGCAGTGAATGTTTACTTTGCGTTGATTGCTTTTCTTAAAACTTGTAAATATTTGCAGTTCCAGACGTACCCCCGCTCAACGTAGAAGCTGACAGTACTTGGACAACCTATTCAATTCCCCTGAGGTGGACCCGCATTCCTTCGTACCTACTAAACGGAATACTTACCGGTTATAGAATACGATATCAAGCTATAGAAATAGGCCAATTGTCCTACGAGGAGAACCCCAGGGAAGTGATTGTCCCCGCAGAAAGTGTATCTACCGTACTGACCGGACTAGAGAGCTTTGCTGTGTACCGTATAGAATTGACCGGGCTGACAGTAAAGGGAGATGGTCCAAGTGAAGTCATTACAGCAGGTAATCAGTGTTTGGCCGGTATTAACAATCGCAGGTTATCATTGGTGGACAAGGGGAGGGTGGCGAACGGGGACCCCACGTAGGTGAGGTAACCTGCCTGTTCATATAATCTCTCATTTTAATGTGATCGCAATTACATGATAGGTGGAGGGACCCGGCACATGTTACCTCACCTACCTGGGCTCCCCCACCTTCATGTAAACAGGCCCTTAGTGTCCTTAGCTCCCACAAGTCTCCTGTGGCTCAGTGGTAGAGCATCTGGACTAGTACCCAGAAGGCCGTAGGCTCGACCCCTCTTGGGGAGTACCGTAATGATTCGATTTAGCGCCCTCCTCCCAATAAGGCGCCCCTATTCTAATAAGCGCCATTCTAAAAATTCATTGGAACAAGCAGCATTTTTTATGTAAGTGACACTGTCGAAGCTTTCGGTGCGGAAATAGATTAAAATTCCCTCACGTTAGCTGAGCATTCACCGTAGATTTGTTACTGTTACAGTTTCTGTTATTGTTCCTTTTTAAATAAATATTATAGTTTTGTCTTGAACATTCGGTTGTTTCTCAAAAAAGAAATAAGCGCCCTGTCTCGAATAAGCGTCCTCCGTTGAGGCACCAAAAGTAAATAAGCGCCCTGGGCGGTAAATGAAATCAGTACGGTACTTCTTACTTACTTACCGAACTACCTGCGTCACTGACTGAAAAATCATCTCTCTAATCATGTTCCCCTTGACAAGCTATTTTTCTAATAATTATCTTTATAGAGACATGTCGATGTGTGAAGCGCCTTACAGCAAACTGGATGTTACTCGCCCCTTACGTTACCAAGCCGAATGGCAACCAAACAGATAATATCCCAGGCGGTCTGGTGTCACCATTTGTCAATGACATGGCAATATCTTGCTGTCAGTCTTGCAAGACACACGGGGAGTCTTACATCGACTACGAGCTCAACGCCATGGGCGAGGAATCCCTTAAAAAATCTGAAGACGTTTTCCGTAGGTGCGTGTGCATACATATAACTTGTGATCACGCTTATTTACACGACCTTCCCTTGCTTTATAAGGTCTTATAATTTAGAATTTAGTTAGTCTTGAGGTAAAAAACAATATGAGTGGTTTTTGGCCTCTGCCTGATATTTTTTACACCGTTTTTCCCACCAATCCTTATATGACATAATAGCAGCAAAACCACAGACCCATTGGCTGGTTTCTTATCTCTTTTGTTACCCTCAATTCTTTTCACAGGAATATCCTTCATTCAAACGACTTCAGCTTTCCTGTTTATGGTTACAAACTACAAGACAAGTTCAGACACGAGTTTGGTTACTTGGGAATCGTGGAATCTCCTGGTATAGCGTACGTCATCAACACAAATTACGGTGCCAATATGTCTACGTCTCTCGTGAATTCTGTATTTGCAAGCTGGCCTCTTGCTTTGTTCAGCATCTTCCTTGCCTACATAGCTGGATACGTTATTTGGATAGTGGTAAGATACAGTTGTCTCAACGTATGAGGGAGCAGGGTAGGGAAGTACCTAGGGTATCGGGGAAGTTCCTAGGATATCAGATAACCCCCCCCCCGGCCTCTTGCCTTGTTCAGCATCTTCCTTGCCTACATAGCTGGATACGTTATTTGGATAGTGGTAAGATACATTTGTCTTAACGCATGAGGGAGCAGGGTAGGGAAGTACCTAGGGTATCGGGGAAGCTCCTAGGATATCAGATATCCCCCGGCCTCTTGCGTTATTTAGCATCTTCCTTGCCTACAGCTGTATACGTTATTTGTATAGTGGTAAGATACAATTGTCTTAACGTATAAGGGGAGCAAGGTAGGTGAAGTTGCTAGGGTGTGGGGAACTTCTTAGGGTATCCGGTGATATTTTCCGTTATTTAGCTTGGGACAGGGTAGGGGAAATACCTGGGGTGTGGGGGAAGTTCTTATATCTTATATCTAAATCATCTTTCGTTTCAGGACCAGACCGGAAATGACGAACATTTCCCACGCTCCTTTCTACCTGGATTATGGGAGGGATTTTGGTGGGCGTTCGTTTCCATGACAACCGTAGGGTGAGTGCGATGATCAATTAATCTTGGGATTTCTTTGATTCCAGGTATTTAGCTGTATGTGGCTTGTGATACGTTTAGTGATAAGGACTGAATTAGGGCCTAAACTTTTAAGTAAAGGAAACAATCAAGAAAATGAATCAATAACTGAAATTCTTCTTTATAAGCTTTGATTAATTTATGATGGAGCATAAAATGAATTCTTTAGAAACAAAAATACGCTTTAATATATGAATAACTTCATTACCAAGGCATTTCTAGTTGATTTGAATAAAAAATCGAATCGCTCCTTGTAAGGCAATCCAAGACAGTCTTGGATTGTGGATTACACGCCGTGGATTCCGGAACCTAGAAACAGAATCCCGAATTCTTTGTCAGTGGAACTTGGATAGTGGATCAAATTGTTAGCTGGATTCCAAGTTCCTTGAGCTTTATTCCGGATTCCTAAGTCCGGATTCCTCAAGCAAAAATGGAAGGGGTCAGACTACAAATTGTGGTTGCTGGAAGTCTTAACTTTTCATCATTTTTCCCTACTTCAAAAAGGGGCGCGAATATTAAAATGGCTTAGGTTGAGTTTATATCATTACGCCTAATTTAAATTAATTTCCAATGCGAGTTATTCTGAAATTCTGTATCGCAGGTATGGTGATAGACTACCTTTATCAACCATTGCTCGGCTTGTCGCCATTGTTTGGACGTTGACGGGGGTTGTTATTCTTGGTATATTGGTCGGTTCCATCGCAGTCTCCCTTACTTACCAAACAGTTGGAATTGATTACAAACTTTACGGCGCCAAGGTAAATTTCCATATCATGATACCGTCGTATGATGGGCTTAGAAAACATTTATACCCTTCACTGAAAAGATTTATGAGAACTCTTTACCGACAGACTTAGGAAGGAGCCGATTAGTAATCGACTCCTGATTTAAGGTATGTTCGCACTATACCGGTAGCGTTTGCGCCGGCGCGAAAACCTTATCGGTTCGGGCTTCTAATGTTCGCGCATAAGAACCTTGATATCGGCGCGATTTCTGTAACGCACGCGAAGAAGCGCCGCGCCGATCTCTAAAGTGGAGCGTCACATATCGGATATAGTATGAATATATAGAGGATATTACACGGTGGCGCGAAGATATGAATTTTATTTTCGAGTGGCAAAACAATATTTTACGAACGAGCGCAGCGAGTGAGTAAAATATTGTTTTTGCCACGAGAAAATAAAATTCATATATTCAAACCGCCGTGTAATGTTCTTTTTATTATATAGACATGCTGATGACGGCGTTTTTGATGATTTTCCGAAGATTTCCGACCACCTTCCGAAGATTTCCGAAGATTTTCCAAAATTGTTCGAAGGCCAGACGAACGTTCCCGAACATTTTCCGAGAATTTCCGAAAATTTCCGAAGATGTCCGAAGATTTTCGAAGACTTTCGAGGAAGACCCGAAGATGTTTCGATGATACACCAACGAATTCAATTACAATTTAAGAGACAAACTTGATATCAATGAAATCATCGATAAACTCACGTGTGAGATTATGGAAAATAAACCACTCGGGTCCCGGATGAAGTTTTTATGAATTTTACGAGTGGTATATTTTCCAGTAAAACACTCGTGTCTATATAATAAAGCTAGGTAAGCCTTGTAGTGCGAACATAGCGTTAATTGTTCGTAAAAAAATTACTACTACTACGGGGTTCATTGATTGCACTTCTCTACCGCGTCTCCAATTCTCTTCCACCTCAAACGATTTTGTAAGAGTTATCAAGGTGAAAAGGTTCTTGCTCGAAACTGGAGCCAAATTTAAAGGGTCGCCACGTTCACCACGTTCTGTCTGAAAAGTGCGCCCGAAAACATTGAATAGAGCAACTTAAAATCGAGTTTGGAAAGTAATTAAATACGTTTACGGTCAAACCCCGTTAATACGAACACTGTGGGGAGGGGGGGGGGGGTCATAGAAAGTGTCCATACGAAACAACCTCGTTCCCAGGGTTCTCTCCTACCCGCTCCTACGGATAGGAGAGAGAACCTGGGAATGAGCTTGCGTACTTAAGGGGTGCCCGTATTTAGCAGGTTGAATTGAGGGAACAAGGACAACCGCTTGCGGTCTAAGGGAAAATGTGAGAGGGCTTTTTCCCCCAAGGACAAGGAAAACTTCCCGTAATAACGAGGTGTCCGTATTAAGCGGGTGTCCGTAAAGCGGGGTTGGACTGTAGTTTGTACCATAAAGAATTAATATTGAATTAATAATTTTTCATTTCAGATCGCTGCTATCCATGGTTCTGCCGAGTACAACTTAGGTTTGAGAAAGAATGCTAAGTTTGACAAAGGTACATAAAACGTGATACCTGGACGCCTAACCGCTTAAGATAATTTTAGGCTTCCCGTATGAAGCTACAATACATGTTATATAGGCCATGCACGTCCAATGAACTTTATTGTAATGTTATTATTTTTTCTTTTAAACTCAACAATCTGCCCGCCTATCTAACTGGCCACCTTAGAAACGAGAGGGCAACTGGCGCCGAGATGCGTTCCGAAATTGTTTCTGGGATTGTTATTAGGAACACGCCAGTCAGCTATTGGCTAATTTTTTCCCCTGTCCCTAGTAATAGTCCCTGGTGCCAAAAAAAAGCCTGTGACTTTTACCAGCAAACTCAGATTAAAATCTTTCCTCGGTACCCTTTGCATGCGTAGGTTAGCAGGCGAAAACGTAGGCTCAATTATCAGGCGCTGATCGAGAAGGAACCAGGATTTACCTAGGTGGTCGGAAATCAAACCTGGGAAACTCTTTGATTGCATCGCACTTTCGTGATGACATTTTCATTTCTCCAGACCAGATACATCGCAATTTCGAGGAAATCTACGAGTTTCTTTCTTCTAATGAAATACAAGGGGCCCTTATCGACGGGTACATGGTGGGTGGCAATAAGCATCTGTTTGAGAAACCGTTTCTCCGGATCTACAAGATCTATGACTATTCAAGTGTCTATGGTGTGGTCACAGGGGGAGACTCGAGAAAGCTTGCAACGTGTTTTCG